TTTTGGTTCCAATCAGCCCAAGAAGATTGAAAAGAGTAAATATCATGGCATTGATGTTTGGTTTTTATGCTCTTTTCCTTTTTATAAAATAAATTTAGATATTGTTAAAATGCATCTCAATACTCCTTTGTCATTAAGTCAGTCAAAAATATGTCCCTGAAAATATTTACAAACAGCTTTTCCCTCTCCAGCGCCCCTCTGGAAATAATAGATCTATCCCAAACAGAAAAAAAAACCTTTCAGCAGCTTTAGCAGTATGATAATAATAATTAATCTAATTTCCAACTTCTATGCTCCAATCTTCTCCATTGCTCAAATTTTTCTACATCTAGGCATTTCAAATCTTCTGAAATTACTTAGGGTTATTCAATGCAGTGCTTTATTCCTGGGAAAACAGCAATCATGTTGTCAGCTCAGGATAGTGGACAAAATGTGTGGTAGTGGAGAAGGTCCTACGGTTCCAAGTCATCCATCATACATTTCAAGGGATCTCCAGCCTTGGAAAGGATTTCTTTCTGAGGAATAAGGGGGGAAAAAACAATCAATTCTAGTCGAGGCAAGAGTTATAAAATGAAATATTATATTTTAAATTCTGTTCCTTGTAGCCTTTGGCTTTGTGACATTCTCTACATTTAAAAAACATCTTCTTTGTGCATTTTAAATTTTGAAAAGAAGTTGGTAGCCTTATTAAAGATAACTATCACTTAGTTCCTCTGGTAGAACAAATCTCCATCTTTCTGCAGGCTCTTCTCTGGACTTTTGAAATTTCTGTTTACCTCAAACCATTAATGGTATGGGACAAAGAAAATTTATTTGAATGGTAGTGGAGCCAAGGCTAACTACTAGAGGTGAATAACAAAAAGAAAACAAGGCAGTTTGTCCAAACAAATATTTGAAGACAAACAGACTTCACCCTTTTCAAATATCAATATCTCTAAAAGGTCTAGGCTTTAGGCAGATGACAGGGAAGGGAAGTCTTACGGTTACTCAAGCTAGTTAGTTGTTTATCTAAAACACCCTTCTAGTTGATAAAGGCACATCTTCCAAGTATCATCAAAGAAGAAAGGAGCTTCCTCATTTCATTTGTTCTATACCCCCAAAATATCTTTGCAAATGATGAGACCAAAATCACATGACACTAGCTTTTAGTGTGGGCTTATATAAGCACTCCTTAATTATCAAAGTGAAATGATAGCTATCAGAATATCTAAGGATTTTTACTTAAAGGGTTCTAGTTTCACTTCTTGAAATTAAACCATGTTTATTCCTAATTAAGTCAAAGGACAAGTTACTATTCTTTTACAACAGTATTAAAATCAGCAACTTTTATGTTCTATGCAAAAGATAGAAAACCATAAGGTCTTAAATTGTGACTAGCTCCCAATCTGATAAGTTGAAGGACAGGAAGATGACTAAACACCACCAAAGAGAAAAGCAATTTTCATAAATTATACTCTGGAAAACTGAATACCAAAATCACCCATGTGTAACCAACCTTTTACTCAGGGATCCTCAATGTACATACATGTAGATTCTATGAGTCATCTTCTAGTTCTAATATTTGATGGCTGTATCTCGATTTTGAAAAATAAACATTTTTTTTTTATCCATGAGTAAAAAAATTGATGAAGTTATTTTTTAAGTCTCGTTGGAATCATTTTAATTATAATTTACAATATCTCTAATTTATTTATTTTCATTTACACTTAGAAGGGTGATTTCATTCACCTCAAATTTTCTGAAGTTTTCCTGAAATCTTAAAAAAATTCCAATGTAAGTGTCCTGGTAAACTAGAGAAAAAGTACAATTTAAACCCTTGTTTCCATGTGCTCAATAAATTATGGAACTAGTTTCTGAAACATGTAATTCCTGTGAGGAAAGCTTATGTTTACTTTGTAAATTACTTCTTCTTCTTCCTTTTTTTTTTTTGGGATAACTGCTTCACCCACACAAAGTCTGCCACACTGCAATCCTGTTTGCTTTGGTTGTTGGTTCTCTCTATTGGCTCTTCTTCAGAGGAAACAATGTTGTTTGGAGGCGGTCAGTTAAAAAAAAAAAAGTTGTTTGTGGTTATGGGCAGATATCATTACAGTGAGTAGTTAGCATCAGGGTATGGAGAAAGCCCAGCTCATTTCCTCCTCAGAATTCTCTGAAGAACTAAGTATTATGTACTGACTGAAATTTCAAAGAATTCAACCTTGTTTTGGTTCTAGGGGAATAAATTTGTAAAGCAAATCTTTATAGTGCTGTGATTGCCAATGACATGTGCTACAAAAGAGTGCACAATTTCTGGGTGATGCCAGTTTCCTTTCTCTGAGCAGAAAAATCAGAGGGCTGGCAAAGCAAGTGACACCATACTCCATCTCAACAAACAGGATTGAGGCAGATGGAAAAACAGTACAGTGAATCAAGATCATTCATGAGCTTCGGTTCTCCTGCAGAGATTCACCTCTCTGTAGTTTGCTAAACTTGGTGTCACTTTCCCTTAGAAGGAAAAATAGTAACCTTGTGCCTCAACTATGCCTATTTGTGGTTAAAGTGAAAGTTCTCATAAGCTAATCAAATTTGTTACATTTTTTTTCCCCCATAGATTCAAACCTAAAAGGGCTTTGGAAAGATTACTTCATAGAGTAAATCCTAAACTGTCTTTCAGATCAATACTTTGACATTAGAGCACTGGAGATGGATCTGGTTCTGGAGAGATCAAAATGGGTTGCTTTTATTTTAATATTCTCAGGTTTTATTTTTGTCTTGTTTAGGTGTCATTTTGAGATAGATGTGGCAGTCTGCTTCCATAAAGACTTACAGCCTTGGAAATCCTGTAGAGGAGTTTTATTGTGTCCTATAGGATTGTGATGAGTCAGAATCAACTTGACAGCAGTGGGTTTCAATTTTTCATTTTGTTTGTATTTCATTAGGTGTCATCTTAACTCATCACTATTTCTACTACTAATTCTACCTACCTTCTGTTAATAAAACACAGAAAGAAGGCTGTCTCCTGCTAGGTACCTGGAGGTGAACTTATTTCTCAGTTGACCTTTTACATATTACCATAAGCAGTTTTTTAGTTGTTGTTGCTGTTTTTTTCATTTTCTGAACTCAGTTCAGTCATGGAACACAGTTATCTGTATAATTGGCTACAGAGAATAATATAGAGAGTGGAAATCATCTGCCTATCTCCCTTCATTTCATGGAGGATGGAAGCCTACACCCAACGTGGAAGAGTCACTAGTGAACAGAAGACAGGCCTCCAAATTTTCCACCAGACCAGTCCCTCCCCAGACCCTGTTCACTCTCCACAACTTTCCTCCTCCACATGCATAGCATTTATGGCTGGTATCACTGGAACATCCTGCCAGTATTCATTTATCTCAGTTTCCAAATGCAATTTTTGAATTTTTTATTTCCTATTATACTTGTCTCGGAAACCCAAGGAGGGGTCACTATGAGTCGGACCCAACTCAACGACACTGCATTGCATTTTTTGCGTATATACTTGTCTAGGGAATTAGACTAGAGGAAGAAACACATATTTGATAAAATATAAGAAAGAACTTAAGTTTTGATGCTCAGCTCAACAGAAATAAAAAATCTCTGTCCTCTGATACTATTCATGATTGTATAAAAGCTGTGACCACTCACAAAGTTATTAAGTTTTATTATTATTAGTCTTCAGTCTTCAAGCACAGGTGAGTTGTAGACAAGCATCTCCTGTGACATGCCACCCCATCATTTATTAGAGTTTATCTCAAAGGCAGGCAAAATACTGTCATTTCAAGAATAAAATATTCTTTTAAATGGATAGCAAAGTGTCATTGAAGAGTAAGAGAAAATTATGTTGCAATGTTTAAATTATTGGGTCTCGAAAAGAATTCTGAAAAGATACCTTCTGCTCTACTTCCTAAAATTTTGAAGGAAGGGTACAAATGACACGTGAGGATAAACATTATTTAGCATCTCAGTGCAAAGCCTATTGAGCAAAAGAACTTTGAAGAACATCCCTATGCTACTGGATGATGCAAAGGGAATACACTGCGGTATTTTTACACAATTAACTCATGTGTTACAGTTTTTTCAAACCATGCACCCCCCCTTGCACCTTAGTTTCCTAGGCACCCTATACACCTTGTATTGTGTGTGTACTATTTATGTGAATGTGTTATTTGTGAAAATATGGTACTATTATTATCAGAGAACTGCATAAACTATAGAGTAAGCGCCATAGGAACTGTAAGTCATGTTATAATCTAGTCCGTTTTCCTCATTTCAACAAACTAAAGCTCCTTGGTGCTCAAGCAACTCTCCTTAGAAAGTTTACAGAATGATTTAATTCGAGTGTGACACTGCTAACAAGATCCTGCAGAGAAGTTCTTCTTCCTCACAACTTTGATAAATGCCTCCAAGAAAGTATAAGCTGCTTTTCACATGGTGACACCCAGCCTTCCTTTCTGTGTGAGATAAACAAGGAACCCAGCAAAGAAAGTCCTAGGGCTATAGACTGCAGGAGTTGGCTGCAATCAAACATCAGAGCAGTCCACAGTGAGATTGTTTCACAAGGTCAATTCACACAGAAACTAGTTGTTCCTCTGCTATTTTCAATGAAGGATATAGTAACAGCAGGAGTTGTGAAACTGCTTGCTGACTGAGCATTTTACCATAATTTTATTTCTCCTGTTTTCCAATAATAAGCCATCTAGGATGGTGCTAATTTATAGAATAATCTTTCCAGGAAGTCAATGTAGCTTTTGCCAGATGAAAAAACACTGACTGTGGAATCTAGAAACTTGGATTTGGTAACACCTTTTCTACTTAGCAGGTCTCTTCCAATTTTAGAGCATTGTATTCTAAATGGAATCTGTAATTAACCATTATCCAACATGGCCACACTGACCAAACACTCACAAACATGCACACCAGCAGACACCATTCTCAGGCTTTTGGAAAGCACACCTTGGGGCTCCGGTCTCCAGGCATGGGCGCAGGTGGAGTCACTCCAGCTCCTATTGTCCCTTGCTGGGGGCCTCCTTGGCGTTCTTACACGTGTACAACCATTTGATGATACGAGCATTCTTTTCGATGACTGAGGTCTTGGTGGGGACTTGTTCCACCAGCTCCTCTTCCTGCAGTCCTTCATCCTCGCCACTGTGCCGGGAAAAGCCGCTGTCGGATGTGGCCATGCTCACGCTGCGGATTTTGAAGGCGACGTGGTCTGATCCTGCAGAGAAGTTCTCCCTACCGAGGTCCTCCACCACCTCAGGGTCCAGGCCGCAGTACTGGAAAAATGTGTCAAACTCAGCAAAGGACTTAGAGTACCGGGAGCTGATGTCTGACTGAGAGCGGTGCAGGCCCCTGCGCCTCACCTCCCGGAGCTCAGGACCAGGGGCCACAGCTTGGCACCTGCTGAGTGTCCCATCAGGTAAGGAGGGGGCAGGTGACGTGGGGAGCACTGAACCACCAATCGGGCCAGAACCAAGGCTCCTCACTGCGGCCTTGGTAGCGGTGGCAGCGTCGGTCCGGCCTCTGGCCTCTTCACCCTCGGTTTTGACCTCTTCTCTTACTTTAGGCATCTCCAAGGGCACCAGCGCCTTGTCCTTGCCTGAACCTTGGAAGAGCTTCTTCACTAAGCTCCCCCTGGAGCTGTCAGCTCCCGACCCTTTGACAAATTCGCATCTCTGCCGGTAGATGACCAGCGAGTCGGGCCTCAAGGGCTTCCGGGCAATGGTCCTGCGAGCCACGGGACACTGGGCTCGGGCCTGGGAGTCGGAGGCGCCCGCCCCCTTCTCCTGGCCGCCAGTGTCGCGGGCTCTTCTCCGGTTGTCCCCGGCGGAGCTCTCGCTGCTGCTCTCGTATGTGGAGCTAGGGCTAGGGGCAGAGCCGGCTACTGGCTGGCTCTTCACATACTTGGCGCGGTCGGCCGCCAGCCTCTCCACCGCGCTCCTGCGCGCCGGTTGCGCCGCGCCCAGGTGCCGGCGCAGGTACTCAGGGCCTCGGTGCAAAATCCGCTTGTTCAGGGGCACGTCGAAGGAAGACATGGTGTGCATACTCACAGCAGGCGCGACCTCCGCGGGCATAGCCGCGGGTGCTCGGAGTTCCGCGCGTGAAGGAGCTCAAGCACAGTCTGCGGGCTTCCGGCTCGCCTCTGGGCAAGCTCTAAACTCACCCTGATTGGCGAATCGCTCCTTAGCACCGGCCGCACCCGCCAGCCTAGGTGCGGAGTTGGGGTGACCTCTGAAGTCCTCTCTAATTGGTAAATCTCTGGCCAGTGTTCGCCGCGCCCCGCTGGCCGCTTCTCCGAGCTCTGCTCTGCGTCGCCCGCCAGCGCATTTACCTTCCAGCCAAACCAGCCTCCCAGGTCGTGCCAACCAATCGCCTGGGAGGAGGGTGCTGGCCTGTCTGACTGGCCACTGAGCTGGCAGCTAGTCTGCAAAAGAGGCCCATTCTGTGGGGCCTGGGGGAGAGCCAGGCCATCCCTTAGGGCAGAGGAGTTTGGAGCAAAAAAGTGTTTGTTCAGCCCCAGTTATCATCTGCCTCCTTCTTGACCCTGGGAATCTACTGAGGTCAGTGAACGGGCAACACCATTTCCAGGAAGGAGGAACAGCAAAGGAGATGGGTCACCCCCCAACACACACCACACCACCACCCATGTTTCATGTCCTTTGGATTCTTAAAGTGATTTGGGTTTGTTTGAAAAGTATTTAATATATTTCCTAAGTTTCTACCTGAGCATAATTTTTTTATCATTAAACAAATAAACAAAAAGACATACAGGAAAACACATTGCACATTCAGGGGCAGTCTATGTGTTGGATAGAATGAATCCAGAAACCCAGCAGGGACTTGGATTCTGGTCCAGATTAGGTCACTGAGTGGCCGTGAGGCACGACCGGGTCAGGGCAGAGGGTGCCAAGACTCACAGGAAGAGCAGGCTAGTGTCAGAGGACTCCAAGAAAGCCTGATGAAATGCCCAGTTTCATTGCTAGTTTTTACAGTAACAAACATAACGGGAAACCATGGTTTCACAAGGGGAGTGGATCAGCATAGGTATGCCAATAGACTAAGAGAGAAAATATTTTCAAAATTCCATTCTTTCCAAAAGTTGGAGAAAGGACTAAAAATATCTGCCAGACGCATGAAATCCGAATTATCTCTTCTGTTAAGGTGAACACCAAGAACATACTGATCTTTTATAAGTTATGACTGAATGCTTGTTGTGTGAGTGCAACACAGCAACAAGTGGGACAGCAGATCCCTCCCTGGATATGGTCTAATTTTGTGTACCAGTGGAGAAAAAAGGCACATCAAAAGGGGCCTGAGGTTGGGAACCTGGTGATGAATCATCAGAAGCAGAGGCAGAATGAATTCAACCAAGGTTTCAAAACAACTCCTTGACCAAGGCATCACTAATGATCAGGGAAGCACGGCAGGTTGTGCTGAAGTGGGTATTAAAATCCAAACTAAACCAAACCCACTGCCATTGAGTCAATTGTGACACAGTGACCCTCATTAGGTTTTCAAAGCTGCAAATACTTTTGGAATTAGATCTTCTTCCAGCAGAGCAGCTGGTGTGATTGAGCTGCCAGTTTTCTGCCAAGTGCCTTGTTGTTGTTGTTGTTAGGTGCGTTTGAAGTGGCTCCCACTCATAGCAACTCTGTGTACAACAGAATGAAACACACCCCCATCTTGCTCCATCTTCACAGTCCTTGCTGTACCTGAGACCATTGTTGCAGCCACAGTGTCAGTCCATCTCATTAAGGGTCTTCTCCTTTTTTGCTGTACATAAGATTGCTGAGGGAGCTCTGGTAGCATAGTGCCTAAGGCACTTGACTGCTAACCAGAAGGCTGGCGGTTCAGACCCATCAGCCACTCCTCAGAAGGAAGATGGGGTAATCTACTTCCGTAGGGATACTGCCTCGGAAATCTAAGGAGGGGTCGCTATGAGTCGGTTCCGACTTGATGGCACATAACAACAAACTACAACAAGATTGGTGAGTCAGAGTCAACTTGATAGCACCTAACAACCACAACATGCAATACCAGCAGTTGTAAGAGAACTCCTAAGCAGTTGACCTCTGAAATTACTCTGAAGCTGGAGTCCATCAAGCTAGATATGTCTACTAAATATGTTACTTCATGATAAATGAAGAAAATATTGACATTGTCTAGGATTTCATTTTAGTTGGGTCCACAATCAATGCCCATGGAAGCATCAGTTAAGAATTCAAATGACATATCGCATTGGACAAATCTGCTGTAAAAGACTTCTTTTAAGTGCTAAAATTAAAGATGTCACTTTGAGGACTAAAATGAGTCTGACTCAAGCCATGGTATAAGTAGGGAACAGTCCCTAGAGAAGGACATTATGCTTGGTAAAGTAGGGGGGTAAAAAAAAAAACAACTAAACTCACTGCCTCACTGCTGTCAAGTTGATTAGATTCATAGTGACCCCTCCTTGGGTTTCTGAGGCAGTGTCTCTATGGAAGTAGATTGCCCAGGGGTAGTGAAGAGAGGGTGGCCCTCAAGGAGTTGTTTATGGAAGCAACTGTCATCTTTCTTCCATGGAGCAGCTATTGGGTTTGAATCACTGACCTTTTGGTCAGCAATCAAACACTTTAACACCTGCGCCACCAGAGCTTCTATGCATTGCTTCATGTTATTATTGTTGTTAGGTGATGTTGAGTCGGCTCCGATTCATAGAGACCCTATGTACAACAGAATGAAACACTAACCAGTCCTGTGCCAGCCTCATAGTCTTTGCCATAACTGAGCTCATTGTTGCAGCCACTGTGTAAATCCATCTTGTTAAGGGCCTTCCCCTTTTTCATTGACCCTC